AGAAGCCAGGTGACAACCCAATTTTTTTTTAAATGACCATATAGCCCTTAATGAAGCTAAAAGGCGATAATGGCCCTTTTATTACCATTAAATCCCAACTAAACATTTCCCTATTTATATGATCCAGAAACCCTAAATTCCTCATTCTTCATCTTTAATCTTCCTCAATCAGTCATAGCTTGGGAAAGAAATCTATATATATAACATTTAATCGAGTGTGCGACCCTTTCCCACAATCCTACCTCAACCTAGTACCACTACGAAGCAGCAATGAGGACGAACGATCACATAGCACCGGCGGGCCGCCAAGCGAGGATGAGAACGAGGTGTTGAGCATTGTTCAAGATTTCTTGATCACTCCTCTCTGTGTAATTTTCATTGCTTAAAGTTCTTCAATTCATCTCCCATTAAAGAAATAGTCAAATTTAGAAACCAAAAAAAGACTCTTGGCATAACCCAATCAAAAGCAACTCAATCGAAACCCCATGAATATTTTGTCACCAATCATTAAGCAAACCCATCGCAAAATTCTTCACCCATCACCAAATCAATATAACAAAACTTTAATTGAAACCACTACCGCTACAATAGCCACGTCGGTGGGTGTCTTCATCGAAACAGTATTCTGATAGCCATCGCCGATCATTGGTGGAGTCTTTTGCCGTTGTCGCCACCAGACTGATTTTCACTGTCGCCATTAGAATCTGTCAGTGTCATATTCCTCACCAAATATCTCACTGGATTGGAGAGAGAGCCAAATAATTTTTTGGGGTTGTGGCTCGGCAGATGGTTGTGATAAAGGCTAAGATGCCGGTGGAGAGAGAGAAAGTGGTGTTGGTCGTCCGCCGATGGTGGAGATCTTTGAAGAAGAAAGAATATAGTAGTGTATATATATGTATATATTTATACACGTCACATTCTGATTAGCTATTGATGATAAGGTTGGTGTGTTGTCAAATTTGTAGTGGATGCTGAGATTACACCCCTCCATGTCAAACTATTGGTGATAAGGTTGGTGTGTGTTGTCAATTTTTTAGTGGATGTTGTGATTACACCCCTCTATGTCATTTACTTTATTGAAACCACTCTGAAACGATGTAGTTTTATATAGGGGTAAAATTGTCTTTAACTATTTCTCTTATCCCCAATTGGCCGTAGATGACACATCTGTCCTTAATTGCAAAAATTTAATAGTTCAAGGGGGCAAATTGTAGTTCAGGGGGTTAATTGCAAATGGCCGGGGTCTTGTTTGCACTTTCCCGTAATATAGAGCACTTTTTTGTGTTATCAGTAACTGCAACTATTTGATAAGCCCTTGATGTAGTACATGTGAACAGTGCCTGAACAGTGGCGTGAACAGTGTTTTCTAGTTTCTATTTTCTGTTTTAGGGAAGTTTTCACTGTTTTAATTTCAATTTCCTAATAGTTTAGCATCTGTTTTAGGAAATTTTCATTGTCTTAATTTCCTAAATAGTTTGTATTAGTTTTAGGAAATTTTCCATTGATTTAATTTCCTATATAGTTTAGGATTTGCTTAGGCCTATAAATACATGCTATTGTAATAGTTTAGGGATCAGTTATTTCTTCCTCTTATCAATATCAGAAAATCGATAGTTTCTCTCAACCTCTTCTCATGGATTCGAGTGTTTAAAGAATGTGTTGCTATTCTTATTTATTTTAATTGCTTTCAATGATCTGGTATTAGAGCCGTTCTCCATGGATGGTGATCAAGGAGAACGTGCGGTGACTATGGGAGAATGTCAACAATTGCGTCAGGAACACAAATAGGAGATTCAAACGGTAGTTGAACGTCTAACTGAAGCGATGAATCATGTACAGGTTCATAGTAGGCATGATCATGGCCAACCTAATGGTGTGAATCAGCCACGACAATGGGCTGGAAATCAATGTGGTCATCTTCAGCGTGCTAATAATCAGTGTCAGTTTCAACAGGACGTTTGGTCTAATTCGAGCAATGATCAGATTGAAGGTATTGTTCTAGCACATGGAAACCGCAAGGTCCAGTGTTGTTAAGGGCTCAAGGCGCACTAAGGCGCCAAGGTCTCCTAGAGCCTGAGGCGCGCACAAGGCGAGGCACGCGCTCGAGTGAAGTGAGGCACAAGTTGAGAAAAAATTAAAAATGACATCTAATAAAGAGGCAATAGTAAATACAAAGATGCAAAATCATGTAAACCAAAAACTCAAGTTTAATAATCAACATACTAACATAAAAATGCAATTGATCGTGCACAGATGTGCAATTTCTGCAGAATCCAAAGTAAAATGTGTGTGTGACAGTGTGTGTTTATGTTTTTGGCAATTAATCATGCACAGAAGGCCTAACCCTCAACTACAGCCTACAGGGAAAAAGGCAAGTACAGAGAATTCAGAAGAAAAAAAACATGCTAATGGTGCTGTGAAGCCTGTGACTTCAGAATTAAAAAAAAAAAAAAAAAAACATGCTAATAGTGCTGTAATTTCAGAAAAAACAAAATAATCAGAACAGAGATTTCTTCTTCTCTCTTCTGGACTCAAGTGTGGAAACTGAGAAGGAGAAGAGTAGCAGCCATAAACAGATTTTTGAAAAAAGAAGTTCAGAGAAACAGATTTGTTAAAAAAAGAAAAACAGAGATTCCAGTTCCAGACTTCCAGCTGAAGAAGAAGAAAGAGTAACAACAACAGATTTCAAAAAAATAAGAGGTGCAGAGAAAAAGATTTTAAAAAATAAATAAATAAATAGGGAGTTCAGTCGAAGACTGAGAGCAGCGGCAGCAGTCAGAAAGAACCGCAACCAAAAAGAAAATAGATTTTCCAAAAATGAAGAAATAAATAAATAACCAGAGATTTCAGAAAAAGGAGAAGAGGATAAGAGTGACAAACAAAAAATTCAGCGCAACTGCGCAACTCAAGAAAAAAAAGATTTCAGCAATTCAGTCGAAGAAGGAGAGAGAAAAAAAGAGAGAGAGAAGAACAGAGAAGAAGAAGAGAGCTTACCTGATACCTTCAATTCGAGCAGATTAGTAGAGATGAGATTATGAGAGAGAGATATTCCATAGCAGACTTCGCAGTCGCAAGCCCTAGCCTTCTTTCTCTTTTCATTCACTTTCTCTTTTTGATTCACTTTCCTTTTTGTTTTTATTTATTTTCCTTTTTGTTTTGGGTCAAGTTGGTCAACTTTGGTGACTTGGTCAAATAATGAACTGTCCACCGCCTGTAAAAAGTCTATACATGTTTACTTTTACTATGGTAACCCTACAATAATAGGCAAAAATAGCATTTAAAAAGAAACTTTAATCAGGCGCGCCATTATATCGCCTCTCGCTCCTCGCTGTAAACTAAACGTGCACGCCTCATCAAAGGCGCTTCGCCTGACTATCCTGCAGGGGCAATGAGCACGCCTGTATGCGCATTGCACCTCGGGCGCGCGCCTTGGGCGCCTTCGACAACACTGGCAAGGTCGAAGCAAATCATCGAGATTTTCAGATCAAATTTGACCTTCTGTCTTTTAATGGTCAACTTGATATTGAAGATGTCTTGGCCTGGCTTGAAGAAGTTGAAGACTTTTTCAAGTATTTTGAGATACCCGAGAACAAGCAAGTTCCGCTTGTAGCCTTTAAATATAAAGGATGTGCTTCAGCTTGGCGGAAACAAACACAGATTAACCAGAGGCGTCAAGGAAAACAGCCTGTGCGGTCTTGGTACAAGATGAAACAACTATTGATGGCTAATTTCTTACCACCAAATTATGAGCAGATGTACCGAAAATATCAGAATTTTTGGAAAGAGAATCCGTCTGTCAAAGAGTCTATGGAGAACTTTTACAATAAGGATTGTGACATCAAGGAAGGTTAATAATTTTGTTGTAGCAACAAGTGATTTTATTGAGATTAATCAAAAGCAAAATTGTGTTGCTCCACCTCTTGTAGTTGAGGATTATGAAATTGTCCTTACTTTAGTCACAACAGATGCACCTCAATGGACTTCCAATAATAAAGCTTCAAAGATAGAGTCCTTGGACAAAAGGGAAAATTTGAAAGAATTCGGTGCAGAGCAGTACAAAGAAGAGGATTTTGTCATGGGATATGAGGACACTTACAACTACACAGACCCATATTTGAAGAGCAATGGTACAAATGAGATTGAAGAAGTTGAGAGCATGATAACAAAGACTATGGGTGCTGCCATGGTATGCATGCGGAACGAGGATGATGTCATTTATAGAGACCTAGTTGATTGTTGTTCTAATATGCATTTTCCCTTCAAAATTATACTAGCATGTCCCTCATGGACAAAATGGTTTGCTTGTCCACCTAAAGGTGGAGAAAAGGAGAACTTGATAGTAGCAGACACACAAAACTTTACTAAAGTCTTCAATGGGAAGGGTCCCGTAATGCTCTGGTCGAATTTCTGTACATATGGTGAACAGTCAGCGAAATACGAGGATGCCCCCTGTTCAACTCGAGGGCGAGTTCTTTTAAAGATGGGGAACATGATGCAGTGCATGGTGTGAACAGTGTTTTCTAGTTTCTATTTTCTGTTTTAGGAAAGTTTTCATTGTTGCAATTTCATAGATGGTTTTGTGTTTGTTTTAGGAAAGTTTCCACTGGTTTAATTTCCTATATAGTTTAGGATTTGCTTAAGCCTATAAATACATGTTATTGTAATAGTTTAGGGATCAGTTATTACTTTTATCAATATAGAAAAATCGACAGTTTCTCTCAACCTCTTCTCGTGGGTTCGAGCGTTTAAAGAATACGTTGCTAGTCTTATTTATTTCAATTGCTTTCATTGATCAGCTGCGTCAGCCGTACAGTGGTATTTGATCAAGCCACAGCACGTACAACTACAAATGCAACTCAACCTATCAGACCCTTAACTCTTTTCTTGTCAGTTGCATGAGTCCTTTGTCAATATTTCTCCATTATGAATGACTTAGAATTGCAGCTACATTACAGTACCACGTTAATTTATTATAATTCAAGAAATATAACCATCCTCACCTTTTTGGGTACACTGTTGATAGACATTTGACGATCTAAAAGTTTCCTTGCTGCTGTTGCATTCTCTGGGGTTCCATAGCTGACCCGCCTGCCTTCATTTTCAAATTGATCAATTGAAAGCTGTCTGACCATGCCACCTAGTGCTCCACCAGTCTCTGCAGCTACAACCACCTACGAATGCATTAAAAAAAGTACCTTCAGATACAAATTCAAGTATGGATATGCATATTGATACCAAAATAAAGTTGTAATAAAACATTCAATATAAGAATCGATTTATGATACTGACAGCCCTATGATGCAGACGAACCCCAGTGGGAGCAGAGTTATTTGACACAGCAGAATCAGGCTTAATCAGAGTAGATATCTGCTTCCCACTAGGGGTGGCCTCTGCCCCACGATCCCTGTCTGGCAATTCAACTTCTCCATTCACTTGCCGTGCTTTGGCGGCAGCCAATGTCGCGCTAATAGCCTCAGCTTCGGCTGCAGAAGCCTCAACCAAGTACTCCACACCTTTGCTCAGTCTCCTGCACAGAAGAATAAAATTTAGCAGATAGGAAGCTAAAAGACTGCAAATCAATGTACATATTCAGTAACTAGCGTACCGGGAGCCCTGGAGCATTGCATTTTCGGTGCTTATATCAGTATACATATCACCATTAACAGGAGGAGCAACGGGACTTCCCAGAACAACAGCACCATCAGAAACTGTATCAGGAATCGTTTGCCTCGTTCTTTCATCAATGAACCCATACCTTCCGGGTAACCTCCCCACCTGTAAATTGGACGCAGCAGCAGCAGCCGCAGCATGCGAAGCTGCAGTTGTTGTTTCAGCAGCTGCCAGATCTTCAGCAACTAAAAGGTCATCAAGCAACACTCCTATGCACGAAAACATCACATTCAAATCCTGGCTTCGAAAATGATCAGTTAGTGCACCAGCATGATCCAAGTGTAGCCCACAAGTTTGATATGATTATGCTGCTTCTCCATACAAACAATTTTTTGGTTTTCTTTTCGAACAAGTGACAGAAAGAACATTGTTCCTAAACTTCCAAAACCTTATTTGGCATTATCTTGTGTTCCAAAAGCTCTACTAAGTTTCCTTTTTTTGTTTTTTCTTCTTTATCATAGTTTTTCATAAGCAAACAATGTTTCATAAAAAATGCCAGCGGTTTTTGAAATCACAAGAATTGTTGAACCCTCCTAAAATGAAACAAGACATATTTTTCTTAAAGACAAATTTTCCATGAAAAAAGAAGGGCTTCAAACTACTACCTTGCAAAGACATGCAGTACTTTGAATATGAATTCATAATATTAAAAACTGAAACACAAAAAGAAGTGCACATGGTCACTATGTCATCACATGTAGACATTGGATCCACCATCTCAAAAGATCAAGAGACAAAATTTCTATTTCAAAAAAATAAGCTTACCTAAACAAGTTGGTTGATGTTCCCCCAAGAACATGAGATTGTTAAGGACGAGATGTAGCAGAGTTAGACACTGACACTTTTTCAACACTCCCAAGTCATGTGTGCATAAATTAAAATTAAAATTAAAATTCTGGATTTGAAATATGGCCAACACTTCGAACATGTGCTGCTACCATGTGACTTATGAAGCTTGAACAACGGGTCAAATATATTTTTGCATGGAGTATAATTGCAAGAAAATCTAATTAAGGTTTATATATATTATATATCTAGTTTGACAGCAATATTAAATACAGAAACAGAAAGGTTTTAATGGAGAAAAGGGTACAAGAGTAGGATAGGAACCTTCAAATCATGTGTGTGTATATATACACACAAATATTTAAAATAAGAAAAAATACGACTTAGGTGGTTTGGACATGTACAACATAGATCTTTAGAGGCACCAACAAGAAAGGAAGAATAGTTTGCATAGAAGACGAGACAAAAGAACAGGCCAAAACTACCATGAATGAAGTAATTAGAAATGACTTTAAATATATGTATATATATATATGTATATATATATAATAAGAAGTATGGCTTGTATTAGACAACAACGGAAAAAGAGAATTCATGTTGTTAACCCAATTCCATTGGGATAAAGGCAATGATGCTATGATTTATATAGATACACAAACATATAAATATAGATAAATGTACTCTTGTTATATCTTTCTCTATGTGATAGGGGTGATTATAATTATATTACTTATAAGTTACAATATTCATCCTATAGTCATACGATGTTAAATCTATTTATTATTTAAATTTATCTTTCACATATAATTTTAGCTTTCATGTTTAAAAAAAAAAAAAAAAAAATTAACCTCTATGTTTTGTTGAGTAATTGCCTCTTCAAAATTTATAAAGAATAGAGGAATTGTAGATGATGCCAAGTGTGGTATGTGTAATTTGGCTGTAACACAAAAATCCAAATGACATATAGATTGTTCAAGATTTTCCTAATGAAAAAGCAAGATTAAATCCCAAAATGGATATAAAAAATTTAAAATGGGTGAAGAGAATAGCCCATGAATGTTCTTCACATTCTTTTGACCAAAATATATAATAAAAAATAAGAGAAAACAATAGAAAATGAAAAAAGGGGGTATCCGTGTTGTGTCAAGTTCATTTCTTGTGTTTGTATTTATACTTCTTAGATGTCCCCTTAAGTTACTGTATGCATCAATGTCTCATTATTTTGTCGTGTCCTTGCCTCTTTTTTAAGATTACAATGTCAATGTATCTGTTTGCCGCGATCTTATCTTGTGCCTGAGTTCGTATTTCTTAGATGTTCCCACAAATTATGGTATGCATCAATGTCTCATATCCAGCTTTACTTATACATTGTTACTGGTATCTATCTTTTAATTTTTGATAGGTACAAGAAATTTTCTATAGTTGTGCTAAATGGGGCAATACACATGTATGCAAATACAAAAAAGGCTCTGCTAACAGTAACACTATCTGCCTGTACTGGCAGCTTATATATACTTGTAAAAAGTTTAGCTTACATGTCGGTCAATAACATCTACTAAATACAAGACTTTTATATCCAAGTGTTTCCCTGCATCTACAAAATATTCTAAAATAGACTTCACGCTGCAGCATGCTTTGATGCATTTTTCTAGTAAATTAAAGCTGAACTCCAAATGAGAATTTGACCATGCTATTACAGCTATTTATAATCTTGGCCCTGAACCACTTTTGCTACATGTTCTTAGTGTTTTACCCTAGATAACTTGGCATGCACAACATTTCCTTCCACATTACTTGGCCATTCAAAGCCATTCACATTAGTTTAAACCTTCTAATAGGAAGCAGCATTGCGCCTTTGCACATGTCCAAATTATTAAGATGCAAAATTTCAAAAGAAAATGCAATCATGAAATCTTTATTATGTAATCGTTCAATTTACACTCTTCTCAAGACTTTCTTATGAATTAAATGAATGCCAAGCAATCATGGAAAAATACAAATGTGATAGAACATAATTATGAAAGGTTGAACAATCAATTATGCATTGTAGACATCAACCTCATGGAGCAACACTCTCCATCTCTATAAAAAAAATAATAATAATAATATAAAATAAAAAAAAGATGAAAAACCTAATCTATCAATACACAGAAATAATGCATGCGGTTTGACACGCGCTTTGGTACATGAGAAACAGGACATACAATTTTGGCATAGATTCACGTCTTACCTCCACGTAGACCGCCATAGATAAAGATCAAATCACCAACAGCAGCAGCTGCATGCCTACAGCGCCTCGTCAATTCAACTGCAGCATCTCCGCCAGCAGCATCAGCACTGTATTTGCCCGTCCTGGGACTAGTAACAACAGATTTTGTATCACACCAAACTCCTGCTGCAGTATCCAGGACTATATAAAGGAGAAGATGAGATATTCATGAGATGTTTGTGTAAATGGGGATATACACTGGAAAAATTATATATTAACGATCCTTTTTTTCATATTAATTTGGGGAACAACGAGAAAAACTTTTGGAGCAATTGTATTGGGATACTGAAGTAATTAACTTCATGCACACTTTTTGGTAAATAATTAACTTCATATCCTCAAGGGGAAAAAAACAGAAGAGAAAACCGCAAGGGTTTTAGATGATATAATAAGCAAGATGATCATACATCTCAAAAGCTATATCTGTCCACCGCCAGAAGGTATTGTTCAAAATGAAAACAGATCAAGAACTTGCAATAATGCTACAGAATTTTCTCAAATTTTCTAAAAATGGTGGATCTGAAATTTTGGATTCAATATTTTATGTTGGGGCAGCGGAAGCCCACGAACACAAAGATTCAAAGAAAGCCAACAAAGCAATCACACACAAACACAATATATACATGGTTCAGCCTAAACTGGACTACGTACATGGATGAGAAGAGATTCCACTATGATTCGTAGAGATATTACAATAACAGAGTACCAACACCACGTACATGTCTTTTCACCCTGTACCACTCCACGAGCCTATCTCCTCGCTACCAGTGTCATCGGTATTTTTCCTACTCTAACAACCCGCATACTACCACTACCATCATCTCCCTCATGAGACTACATCTCTCTCAATCTCATAAGTCTCAACCCATAACCTAGGTGCCTATTTATAGACTTACAAACTCAATTCCTTTTTGGACAAGGATTACTTGCTTAACAAGATATTTCCTTACCGAATACAACTCTAAAATAGAAACCTAATTATAATAGGAATTTCAGACACAATTTCCAACAATCTCCATCTTGGCTCAAATTTCATCCAGCCAATCATCGCTTCCCATGACATTAATCAAGACAATTCTTTTGCAACTTCAATCTTGAAGATACTCCTGCAAAACTCCGACTGTCCACATTATACGTTGTTCAAACAGTCAAACCTTCAAGGCTCCATCTTGAATACTTGAGCTCCATGCCATGTAACCAAACCAATTGACTCCACCTACAACGGAAACCCATTGTAGCACATGTTGAGACTTCTTGTGTGTGTGTGTGTGTTTTTTTTTTTAATCTCTCTCACCATTGGCTTTGATACCAATTTGTTAGGAGCAGCGGAAGCGCGCAAATAAGAAAGTTTCAATGAAAGCCAACAAAGCAATCACACACAAACAAAAGATATACATAGTTCAGCCAAAACCGGCCTACGTCCATGGATGTGAAGAGATTCCATTATAATTCGTAGAGATATTACAATAATAGAGTACCAACAGCACATACATGTCTTTTCACCATGTACCACTCCATGAGCCTATCTCCTGCTACCAGTGTCATCGGTGTTTTTCATACACTACCAACCCACATAGTACCTCTACCCATCATCTCCCTCGTGAGACTACATCTCTCTCAATCTCACAATTCTAAACCCATAACCTAGGCGCCTCTTTATAGAGTTACAAACTCAATTCCTTGTTGGACAAAGATTACTTGCTTAACAAGATATTTCCTTACAGAATACAACTCTAAAATAGAAACTTAATTATAATAGGAATTTCAGACACAATTTCGAACAGTTTACTGCATAGAAAAGATCGGGATCAAAAGTCGAAATAGTTCCTGAGACTGATTTGCAAGTCAGAATAGAAACGGCTAGAGCTTTTGCATCACAACTCTATATTCATCGCAACCCATCAAAGTTTTGTTCGCATCACATCTCATCACAATTCTGTTCGCATCGCAACAGACTTCTGAACGATTCGTCACAACATTCGCATCAACCCCAATCGCAACACCATTGCAATAACAATTCAAAATTGAAATTTTTGGAAACCCTAATCTGCAAGTGTGAATCATCTGCATCAGTTGCAACCCTAATTGCAAAACAACGCAATGTGGCTGAATTTCTTTGCATTCTCTTAGTAGATCATCGAACCCCATCTTCGTCAACTTTCTCCGCCGTTTCAAATTGCACTGCACCACAATCAATTCCTTTTCGGTTTGATTTTGCATATCTTCGACTTTGGCTACCAAACGACAGCTTGGGCTTCATCGCAGCACTGCTTCAACTCACTGTTTGCAACACGATTTTGTCTCTCTGATACATTGTTACGGTGACCAAATTTTGTTTGGACACGCTCTTCTTTCTCTAGTGAGTATCGCACTTACAGTGACAATTGCAGACAGCCTGTGTTTGTGTTTGTTCTTCTTTGTGTTCTGTGATTTCTGTGGCAATTGGATATTTGACAGTAGCAACCCCGCACGTTGCAGTACTTTTGAAATTATCATTGTGCAGTTTTTTGTTTGCCTTTGCATCAATTTCGAATCAGTCTGCATATCTTGCCGACCTGTTACATCAATTTTGACTTAGTTTGCATCAGCCCACGTCGCAATCGCCTTTACTCTGTTTGCTAGAGAATTGCATCTTACAAACTCGATTTTCTGTTCACAACTCTTTGTTTGGGGTTTTATCTTATTTTCGTTGTAGCAAGTCGGCAATCTGGACTCTGGTTCTCTAGTCACATCTCGGTGGTTTTTCAAATTCTCGGTGGATGCACTTACTGTTTTGAGTTGCTCTCCCAGCATAATTGATTTGTACTGGGAGTGAAACGACCGGCACACTAATCGGTTGGATTGACTGAATATTGGTTGATTTCCCTTGAGATGGCTATCAGTGATGTAAACTCTCATCAAGCTCTCAGTTTGTCCCTCTGTAGGTTTGCTTCCTCAACTAGTTCAGATATATCTCGGACCACTTGGGTTTTTTACTCTGGTGCTACACAGCATATGACTAGTAATTTTTCTTTATTCACATCTATTCTCTCTCCTCCCTCATCAGTTTCAGTTTTAGCTGCCAATGGCACTCCTATGTCATTGGCTGGTGTTTGAACTATTGTCTCTTCTTATTTGTCTCTCCCAGATGTCTATTGTGTTCCTCGACTTACTTTAAATTTAAATTGTTAGTCAATTGTTCAATTCTGGATTTTGTGTTCATTTTTCATCAACTGGCTGTGTAGTGTAGGATCCTCATTCTAAGAAGCCAATTGGGACAGGTAGCAGAGAGGAGGATTGTATGTATTAGAGGAGCTTCATGTTCCAGCTATTGCAGCTTCTTGTGTTGACCTGTCTTCCTTTAGTTGAGTCCCAAGTCCTCTTTCATTTATGGCATTCTCATCCTGGTCATTTTTCTAGTCCCCATTTAAAGCATATAGTCTCTACTAGTGTTTGGGGAGATTTGCATAGTCATGAAATTTCTGATTGTAGTGGCTGCAAACTTGCAAATTTTTTTGCTTTGCCTTTAAATAAAAGCTCTTCTAATTCCATGGCACCTTTTGATTTGGTTCACTCTGATATTTGGGGCACCTGCTCCTATTTCTACTAAAGGAGGGTCCCGATATTATGTTTCTTTTATTGATGATTACACTCGATATTGTTGGATTTTTCTAATAAAACGTCATTCTGAGTTCTTTTCTGTTTTAGTGCTTTTCATGCTATGGTTTTCACACAATTTTCATCTATTATCAAGTGTTTTAGACGTGATTTGGGGGGTGAATATCAGTATGGCACCTTTCTTGATTTGCTAAAATTAGATGGCACTATTCTGCACTATTCCTGTGTAGAAAATCCTGAGCAAAATGGTGTTGCTGGGTGAAAGCATGGGCACGTCATGGAAACTGCTCGCTCTCTTTTGTTATCTGCTAGTGTTCCTAGTATCTATTGGGGTGAGGTTGTTTAGGGTACTTTGCACCAGAGTTTATTATTCTTTTCCACCTCTACTTTGGAACTTCGAGATTTTCTGACGCTGACTGAGCTGGTGATTCAACTGATCGCAAGTCAACTACTGGTTTCTGTGTTTTTCTACGTGACTCTCATTTCCTGGAAAAGTAAGAAGCAAACTGCTGTTGCTCGCTCTTCTGCAGAAGCTGAGTTTCGTGCTATGGATGCTACTACAGCAGGAATAGTTTTGTAGCGATGGCTGCTTGCTGATTTGGGTGTTTCACTCTCTGCTTCCACTGCTATGTATTGTGATAACAAGAGTGCCTTTCAGATTGCACACAATTCTGTCCTTCATGAACGTACTAAGCATATCAAGATTGATTCACTTTGTGCATCATCACCTTCTGCTTGACACTACTTCTTTACCATTTGTTTCTTCTACTACGCATTTGGCTGACTTCTACACAAAATCCCATATTATTTCACGTTTTCATTTTCTTCTTACCAAACTCTCAATGATTCTTACTGCCACATCGTCAGTTTGAGGAGAAAGGGGGGAGGGATTTTTCTTTCTAATTTATGTTAAGGGCAATATTGTATTTTCCTTTTCTATTAGTTACTCAGCTCTTTTAGGTCTTTTTATTACTCTCGTATTACTTTATTGTTTGTAAATTCAGATATTATAGTATTACACGATTGCTTGGATTTCTTCTCTTCTTTACTGTGCAAATCAAACTATACCAAATCTGACAGTTTCTTCGAGCCTGAAAGCCTCCTCCGAAATCGTTGGACAACCGGATCCCAAACTGAAACCCTCCTCGTCAAAGCTCCCAAGGGTGTTAGATGTTAGAGATTTTTCTTTCTAATTTATGTTAAGGGTAATATTGTATTTTTCTTTTCTATTAGTTACTCAGCTCTTTTAGGTCTTTTTATTACTCTCGTATCACTGTATTGTTTGTATATTCAGATATTATAGTATTACACGATTACTTGGATTTCTTCTCTTCTCTTCTTTACTGTGCAAATCAAACTATAGCAAATATGACAGTTTCTTCCAACCTGAAGGCCGCCTCTGAAATCACTTGACAACCGGATCTGAACTGAAACCCTCCTAGTCAAAGCTCCCAAGGGAAGTCCTAAATAGGAAATCGGAAAGGACCCAAACACCACACCTGCCAACTCATGGATATACTTAACCTCCCCAACTTGAACGATCT